ACCAACCTCTCTCCCGCCTCCCCCTGACTTGCTCGGAAGCTGTCCCTCAGGCGCGGCGCTGCCCAACCCACAACCAACCTCTCTCGGCAGCCTCCCCCCTGAACCTTCTCGGAAGGTTCCTCAGGCGCGGCGGGCAGGCCCCAACTCCGCCTCGCACTGCTCGAGCGCCAGCGGAGGGGAAAGGACGTCAGACAGGCCCGCCGTGCCGGCCGACGCTGCAGCTGCCGACGCCGCGGCGGCGGCGGTGGCGGGGCAGCAGCAGGAGGCGCTTCTTCACGGGGAGAAGGGCGGAGGCGGCGGAGGCGGTGGCGGCGGAGGCGGGGGCGGCGGCGGAGGCGGTGCCGGCGGAGGCGGGGGCGGCGGCGGAGGCGGTGGCGGCGGAGGCGGGGGCGGCGGCGGAGGCGGTGGCGGCGGCGGCGGCGGAGGCGGTGGCGGTGGCGGCGGAGGCGGAGGCGGAGGCGGTGGCGGAAGCAGCGGCGGCGGCGGAAGCAGCGGCGACGGCGGAGGAGATGGCGGCTGCTGCCTCGGGAGCGGTCTGAGCGGTGGAGGTGGCAGCTGCGGCCTAGGGATGTGGGAGTGGCCAGGCAGCCCGTCGGCGCGGGGTGGTGAGGAGAGCAGCAGCAAGGAGTGGAGGAGCGCGTCGGAGGAGCCCGACCTCGCGGCCTGTTGATTGGCAATTAATTAACCGTTAATTAGCAGTGAATTAGGAGCGCGTCGGAGGAGCCCGACCTCGCGGCGGCCGTCGGTCTTCAGCCGACAAAGCACACCGCAAGCTCGCCAGGCCGCCCGCGACGCAGCTCGAGCTCCGAATCCCTTCCTTCCTTCAGGAGCCGCCATTGATGAATCAGGCCGCGCGACGCAGCTGGAGCTCCGAATCCCTTCCTTCCTTCAGGAGCCGCCATTGATGAATCAGGCCGCGCGACGCAGCTCGAGCTCGAGATGGACGCGTTTCACCTGGCGGGCCGCTCCGCCGCCTCGAAGCTGCCCGCCAACTTGCCCCTCTCCCCGCACGCGCGGCAGCTCTGCGAGAGGCTGCTTCGGCTCGAGCCGAGCGCGCGGCTGGGCGGCGGCGCGGCAGGCGCCGCCGACATCCGCTCGCACCCCTTCTTCGGGTGGGGGGGCGCGGAGTGGGAGGAGCTGCTCGGCAAGCGGATGGCTGCGCCCCTCGCGTCGTGCCTCGCGGCGCGCCCCGCCCTCGAGGAGGCTGTCGGGATTCCGATGGCGGAGGTGGGGAGATATAGGGAGATATAGGGGAGATATAGGGAGATATAGCCCTCGAGGAGGCCGTCGGCATTCCGATGGCGGAGGTGGGGAGATATAGGGAGATATAGGGGAGATATAGGGAGATATAGCCCTCGAGGAAGCCGTCGGCATTCCGATGGCGGAGGTGGGGCGCCGGCTGCTGGAGCACATGCGGCGCGTGAGCGGCGTCTCTTCACACCTGCAGCTGTGAACAGGGGGCGGCGCTGCTCGGACTCGACGGCGACGGCACGGGGGCCAGCGACGGCTCGGACCCCGACGGAACAGCTGAGGCCACCGCCGACGGCGGCGACGGCGGCGACGGCGGCGGCGACGGCGGCGACGGCGGCGGCGACGGCGGCGACGGCGACGGCGGCGACGGCGGCGGCGGCGACGGCGGCGACGGCGGCGGCAGCGACGAGAGCGACGAGAGTGGCGGCAGTGGCGACGGCCCGTCGACGCGCGAGCCGTCCGCCTTCCCGCCGGCGGCGGTGATGCGCCACAGGAAGACGCCGATCACGGCCGCCCGCCGCGTGCGCTCCTCGCCGCAGCTCGAGGGAGGAGCGCCCGCGCCGCCCGCCGCGCCGCCCGCCGGGGTGGCGGCGCCTCCGCCGACGTCGCTACGGGAGGCGCTGGCGCAGGCGCCGTTCCGGCGGTGCGTGCGGCCGCTTCCGCCGCGGTCGTCGCGCGAGGCTGCGGACGCTGTTGGGCCTCCTCCGCCGGCCGATTCGCTCGTGCTGGACATGACTCCCGACGGGAAGGCGACTCTCTCTCTCTCTCTCTCATCCATCTCTCTCTCTCTCTCTCTCTCTCTCTCTCTCTCTCTCTCTCTCTCTCTCTCTCTCTCTCTCTC